ATCATTTTTAAAAATTGAAAAAAGACAGTGTCCTGGAGTAGTGAGTCAAATGATCACTCAGTTGGTAAATGTCAGAAATAGGACTTGAACACAGATCTTACTCTAATAACATTAAAATGCCATCAAAATAATAGTGCTGCTAAATAGACATTTTATATTTAACACCAGCTCTGCATTGTGCAAATAATTATTTCCAGGTCCATCTTTTCTGGCAAGCCAGGCTGTGGTCATCTCCCAGAACTACTGTAAGTGGATATAGAAACAGCAACTCCTACAGAGGAGCCAGCATTGACTAAGGACCTAGCATCTTTCTACCTCTCAAACTCAGCTTTCTTCCAAGTCTGGGCATTTCCATCTTGAGATTGCTCTTCTGTTCCCTAGGATTAGGCAAAAAAAAAAAACACCCATAAAGCAGAAGAGGCAACTAGAACTTTGAGATCTAGTCTCAGGCTTGCTAAGGTAGATTTAGCTGCCTTGTGCTCATTACTACCATGAAGCCTAAGTGGCATTAATAGATATCAGGCCTTTCCCCATGCCTTCAGGGAGTTACTTGTCACCAGTCCTGAACAGCTGAAGTAATAACAGTATAAGTAAAAACTATCTTTCCTTTTTTAACTGACAAAGCTCCCTTTTCACCTTCCCCTCAACAGAGAAGGACTAAGGGACCACCCACAATTTCCTTCATTTTCTCAAGTGCCAATCCATTCAGTGTTGAGCTACATAAGTTGTTGGAGGAGCTTTGGGGAATGTTCCATGGGGCAACTCCTCTACAGGAGTTCATTCCCACATATGTTTCAAGGGGTATAACTCCAGCTATATTTGTCAAAAGTAACTCTCACTCATCACCTTATAGTCACATTTTATACTGTCATATTATGTAAGAAACATAATGATTAACCAGGACATTTCCAGATTTTTGCTGGTGCATGAAGAGCATTGAAAGTCACAATTCTGAAGCAGATTCTTCCTGGACATACTCTTTTCCCCCCAACTCCATCACTCTTCCTCAATTCCCTGCTGCTGTTGGGTACTGTTATCCTTCTAGTCACCCAGGTTCACAACCTTCTCCAATCTTTCTTCTCCTTCATCTCCCATTTCTAATCAGTTGCCAAGTCTTGTTTCTTTGTAACTCCACAATATCTCTCATGGTTGTCCCTTTTCTCAATTCACTAGTTCAGACCTTTGGCAACTTTCACTTGGACCAATGCAGTAGCCTTCAAAGTGGTCTCCCTGCTGGAAGTATCTTCTTTCTGCAATCTATCCCCCAAACAAGTGTCAAATTGGTATCACTAATCAATTAATCAACAAACATTTGATAAGCTGTGTCAAGTGTGCTAGGTGCCCACGATACAGAGAGAAAAATGAAATATACTCCTCCCTTGAGGAGCATGTAATCTAGGATGAGGAGATATGTATGCATATGTGTATGAGTATATATGTATATGAGTATGCATGTATATAGGTATACGTGCATATATGTGTGTATATGGATATGTAGATGTATATGTGTATGTATATGGGCAGGTATATATACATACACACGTGTATATAGATATGTGTATGTATGCACACATATGTATACATGTATGTGTGTGCATGTGTATATATGTGTACACAGATACACACTCATACATACACAATAAATTATATCTATATACTTTTATGTTTATATACACACACAGTAATTTATTGCAGTAAGACAGTAAAAATTGGAGGGATTGGGAAAACTCTTATGTGGAGAGATCTTAAGAGGCAGCTATGTAGAAGGAGTGTATATTAGGCACCAGGGACAGTGCAAAAATCATTGAGATGATGAAGTCACTCTCCTGCTCAAAACACCTAAGTGGATCTGCATGGTTTCTAAGTGTAACACCCTGTTGTGATAATTAGTTCATTTCAAGCCTAGCAAGCCATAATGGGCCCTAACCTTTAGCTAGGTGGTGAAGTGGATAGAATACCAGGCCAGGAGTCAGAAAGACCTGAGTTCAAATGTGGTTTTAGACACTTACTAGCCCTGTGACCGTGGGCAAGTCACTTAACCCTGTTTGCCTCAGTTTCCTTAACTGTAAAACGAAGAAGGAAATGGCAAAACGTCCAGTATCTTTGCCAAGAAAACCCCAAATGGGGTCTTAAAGAATTGGACATGACTAAAAACCAAAACAACAACAACCAAGGTTCATGTGTTTTTTTTCCTCTCCAGATCAAGAGAGTTGATTTAGATGAAAAGTTCTAAATTCAGCAGGAATCTCTTTGAGCCCTCAATTAGGAAAAGTTTCTGACACCTGTGTGGAAGTTAGTTTAAATAATCCTTTTTAGTTTTCTGAAAATATTTAGAAATAATATTTCTTTCCAGATTTTTTCATTTAGGAAAATGGAAAGAAAACCTAAGGCCTTCCTTTGATATGTTATAAGGGTGATAATCAAAATAACTTTTCTAGATAAGATATTGGCCTTCCCACTGATCCTGAGTGATTCCCCTCCACCATGACCCACCTTAAAGACTGTTTTCTCTTTTAAAATTCAAGGTTAAGATATTGATAACAGGTAGGAATTCTTTTCAGTCATTAAGGGTAGAGGTCCAGGAAGGAACTGAGCAGTTTTGGAATGTTAACTCAAAATTGTATTTTAACATATTATGATCTTTTCCTTTCAATATTCCTGTAAATGTTATTTGAAATTTTCTTGAAGACACAGAGTCATGAGGAAGGCATGGGAGACTATGTCATCTCTCTTTACAAGCTAGAAGTGTCTTGGATATAGCTTAACGTTAAATTCTATAAAATCGTTCCTGTTAGAAATGAGTGTGAAACACAAGAGAACGTCATTAGCATTAATTTTTTTCTTAGACACTCAGGAGAAGTTGGGTTCTCTGTCTACCCCTACATTTACGTGTATCTTGGTTTAACTTCTGGCCTCTTTGTGTTTGAGGATAAACTAAATTTACTGGAAATGTTTGGGTAATGAAAACACAGATTACATTACAGTGTCTCTGGATAAAGAAGTATTGGGAGGGGAAATTGGAGAAAGAGGGGACCTTTTTTCTTAGGACTTCTCTCAGCCTGGGTCCTCATTTCTGAGATGCCTGATGGTCAGTGACTCTCCTATTTATCTTACTTTTCTGCTATGTCTCAGTCTTCCCTTTGCTCCATTTTTTCCCAACCTTTCAAATCCAGATACTCAAAATCTCTTCTTCCCTGGACCCTGAGATAGCTTCACCCTTTTATACAAATTGCTGAGAGCATGACCCAATATTTCTCACCATAGTTTAGATTTCTTCCAGGAAGAGTGAAGTTTAGCCTTAATTCTGAGTGATTCAATCAAAACTAGTTTTCACCTCATCTGGGCTATAGCCAAGTAGAGTGGTTTCAAGCTATCCCTCCCACAAGTTAAAGTGTGAAATCCTTCACTATCTGGCTGTAGTTTATACACCTCTCCTGGACAATACCTCTAGGTTCCAGACCAAGTACTTCACCGCTCTGGCCCATTCCTGAAATGCATGCACACCTCTTTGTTTCAGCCTTGCATTTCCTGGATCCTGCCCTCATTTGCTAGTCCCTTTTTTCCCTCCCCCATCCCCCCCCCGGGACTTTGGGCGGCTATTTGGCCCAGTGGATAAAGCGCTGGGCAGACGTTATTGTCAAACTGTAGCTGACACTTACTAGCTGTAGGACCCTGGGCAAGTCACTTAACTTCTGACTTAATCCCTGGAAGGCAGACAGTCCAGTATCTTTGCAAAGAAAACCGCATGGACAAGACCAGAGTCGGACCTGACTGAACAACACCCCCACCCCATTACTTTGTTTACGTTTCTTATGTATGTTTTTTCCTCCAAGAGAATGCAAGGTCTTTGAGGGCAGGGGCGGTTTTTTTTTTCATCTTTGTTTCCTGTCTCCCTTCCCACCCACCCCTCCCAGCAGCTTAGCCCGGCGCTTAGTTCTTGCAGATCTATTGGAAACGGCCGGCCGATTGCAGACAAACCTGAAAACACAACGCGAAGCGTCTACTCCCGGCGCAGCTGGACTGGTCCGTGGGCCTCAACGAAGCTAATAGAAGGAAGCTGCCTGGTTCCGGCCAGGTTCGTGTCGGAACACTTGGGTGGGTGTGTGTGTGTGTCGCTGGGGGCTCCTTTTAGGGCTCACTCGTTAAATGGGAAATTCAGAAAAAGTCGAATAAACCATAAGAGGATGGTAAGCAAAGATACATTTTTTTCCTTTCTTAATAAAATTCTTTTTCGAGCTGATAACATGATGATGATAAAGTTCAGAAAAACTTGGCAAGTTAAAAGTTGCTTTAAGGAATGGCCACATACGACATTGCCTTCTGCAGGATTCGCGAGGTGGGGATGCTTTCGATTTCAACTAGTAAGAACTACAAAATACACTCGCTCCAGAACTTCGTCCCATTGTATATACTTGAGGCTTCTTGATCAACGCGGCACCAGTAGCGCCGCTGGTGTAGTGGTATCATGCAAGATTCCCATTCTTGCGACCCGGGTTCGATTCCCGGGCGGCGCACATTCCTTAGCTTTTCTTCTTTTCCCCTACTATCAATAAAATGAAGAAACCTATTTGAAAATGTAACCTTATTTATCTGTAAGGCCATGCGATCTTAATTTAATTGCTTTTACTGATTTCTGATCAAGGGAGAAGAGTAAAGCTTTGCGCGTGCGCAGTCAGCAACCACGGCGGTACGGCGGCAGCCCGGGAGGTCGGCCTTGTACTTGCGCAGTACAAGAAGCGCCTCCAGTACGTGTGGCGGAAGCACGCCTGCGCAACAAACGAGTTGGCGTCGGTAGTGCCGTGGCGCGGGGCAGACGGGGTCTTAAGGAGACTGGGCTCCCTCTGCGCTTGCGTGGCCCGGGCCGCTCGGCAGCTCCTGGGCGCCCGGCTCGCCGCCATCTTGTGTCGGGACTTCATTGTTCGGGCACAGGGGCAGGCGGGCTCGTGTTGCTGCTGCTGCTGGACGAAGAGGAGGCGGACGAGATCCCGCTTCACCGAGAGCGACAGAAACCCCCGGTAGCCCTTACTGCCGGGCCGCCGAGGGAGGTGGTGGGGTCGGGGAGCAGGAGGCCGAGGAGCCGCCGCCAGAGCCGCAGCCATGGAGGACGAGATGCCCAAGACCCTGTAAGTGGTGCGGAGCTGGGCGGTCGGGGGCCGCAGCTGAGGAGTGGACGCGGTGTCGGGAGTGGGAGGGTGGGAGGGAGGCCTCGGCCGGGCCGGCCTATTGTTTCCCGCGGCGCCCGCTCCCCGCTTCCCACGTCCCATTTCCGTCTCCTCTCCGCCATGAGGTCGGCGCTGCCGGGCCGTGAGGGAACGAGCGGGCGGTGGGGCGAGCCCGCCGGGGCCTGGTTTGTACGAGGCCTTTCCCCTGGCCCTGGAGCCCGGGAGGAGACGGGCCATGTGTGGGTTTAGACCCAATTCTCTCCTTGTGTAAATGTTCCGTTTCTTCTCCCTCCCCCACCCCCACCTCCCGCCTTGATCAGCTCTTTTTTTCCTCCATTTTTACCCCCCCATTGTTTCCTTTTCATGCTCAAAACTCCTCAGTTTTTCATTTTCCTCTTCTTGGTTGTGGGAACTTCTGCTGGATCTCTATTTTCCCCGAGTGCCTACACTCAGATCAATTGAGTTGGAGAAACCTGGATTTAGAGCCTGCTATATGCAAAGAAAGCGTTGGGGGATGTGAACGTGAAGACAAAAAACGAAACTGCCCCTGCCCTCTAGCAGCTTACTGTTCTGGGGGAGAGGAGAATAAATACTACTTGCTTACGTGCAAAAGACTGTAAGGCAAGGTAGCAGGAGTAGGGGGAGGTGGGGGTGGGCTGGCAAAGGAGAGAGAACTAAAAGTGCTCTAGGAAAATTTGAGAGAACTGTTCCATCTTTGATCAAGCGAGGTCGGCTTCATGCTCCTCGTTTGCCAATGGGAAGAAAGCCAAATGTTTTCTTTTCTCCTCTCTTCCCCCTCCCATAAAAAAAGTTGAAGTGGAGAGAAAAGCAAATATTCTCTGCTCTTCACTCCTCCCCAACAAAACCGCAAGACCTTAAAATTTTATTGAAACCGATCTAACAAAATGGGGGGAAGAATACATTTTTATTCTTTTCCTATGTTAGACATAATACATGTTCTCGTGATAGACATTCTGCGTAAAGAGCTGGCAGTAGATTTGAAGGAACAGTTAAATATGTCCGTAACTGATTTTCATTGATCTTTGAGAATCTTTCCCGTACTAGTACATTTTTATGGCTGAATATCAGGTTTTTTTTTCTGGGTGGTTTCTAAGACTTCCGTTTCTTTGTCATTGAGTTTCTTTGCATTCCTCTTTGTTTTACAAAATGAAAAGCTACCCCTTGTGTGAGTAGACTTATGTTCAAGTATTTTTGTTTGTGAAGACAGTTTTTGTTATCTAGATATTTTTTAATTTGTTGATTGTATTATTGACTTTCATTTTTATGATTTCCCAGGAATCATGATGGAGACTTGAGCTAGATTACATATAAATAATTGATATTTAGATTTCTTAGTGTAGCTTTTCTTTTTCAGCTCCTAATGCTACGTTGTTTTCTGCATCATACTATTCTCAAAATTCAACTTTGCACTGACATTCATGTTTACCATTTAGGTGACAATTTTCTTGGTATAACTGACTGGTTCTGGTAAATTATCGAAGAACCTATTGTGTTGCTATCTTGTGGCTCTTTACCGGGAAGCAGCAATTAAAAACATATTTTTAGTTTTGAAAAAGCTTCACTGTAGTTATGAACTTCATAAGAATTAGTTGAGGCTTTTATTGGAAGTTATTTTTTACCTTCTGTTAGCTAGTGAGTAATTTGAAAATGTGATTAATTTGCTAATGACTAATAATCTCTCCTAATTCTTTCAAGTTTAAGATTCTGAAGTGATTTTATAATTTGCTAAATTTGGAAGCTGCCAGAAACGTTGAGTAGAAATTTGTCATGTCCTTATTATAAAAGACTCGTCTTAAGTTGTTGAACTTTGTGTGGAAAATGCTTATTAATTTTTAAATAGGATATTTGTTTTATATAATAAGTATATCAGTTGTTTTCTTGTTAAAATGTTTAGCTTGTTAATGAATTAGAAATTTAACATTAGGATGTACAAAATAAATTTCTACCTCACAAATGGGTTTCAGGTTTTGTTTTTAGAGATAGGGACCAGATTTGTGATTTCTTCAGGAAACTCCCTCTACCAATGCACACCTGAACCTTCTCTGTAATTTAGAATCCAAGAGTTGCCTAGAGCTGCATGTCAAAAACATGCAGCCCACTTCCCAGTGCAACCTGAACCAAATTAAAATGTAATTGGGAAATAGTTAACAAAATACATAAAAATACAATAATATTTAATATGTGGTTTTCTAAGTCAGTATGGGGCCCACAGATATCCTTACTAATGGCTTAGTTGCCTCCTTTTTTATTTGACACTACTGGCTTAGAGTGCTGAGTTTAGTCACTGGGCTAGTATGTTCAGTTTTCCTGGCTAGCTCTGTACCATTACACCACATTGCTTTTGTTTTTAAGTCAGTTGTAAAAAGTATTTTCCTATAGAAAATATTTCATTCAACAAATATTTGAACCCTCTATGTGCAAGACTTTGTGGGGGATATAAACGTTCTTTGATGGACAAGTCCTTGGCCTTAAGAAACTAGCTTAGGTGGGGAGAGGTGATGAGACTCTCCAGGGCAGTCTACAAAAGCCTGATAATAAAGTAACTGAACTATATTACTAGAAGTTATGGGGCAAGACAAGGAAGGAAGGTTTCCCTCTTTCCTGGCCACTGGTCTAGACAATATTTAAGTGAGCAAAGATTGTCTTGTCTCCCTGCCCCCACACCCTTCAGATATTTCTTTCTCACTTCCTCCACGTGGTCTAGTCCCTCCTGAAGTCCTAAGCCCTTCCACTCAAGTCCATATTTTCCATTAAAGTATCTTAAAATTACTTGCTACCGATTGATCAAAATTGCCTTCTGCTTATTACTTTGCTAGGTATTAGTGGAAAATAATTTTAATTGAACTAGTTTTAGTTGAATCTAGTAGTAAATAGTCAATTTTTAATTGAAATAATGTGACTGATAGTGCTGGCATCCTTCCTTAGAGATATATACATTTCTAGGGGGTGGTGCTGAGGAATAGGTAATTAGTAGAATTTGAGGCAATATGAGATAGTGAGGGAAAATTTTTTTACTCATTGTTAAAAGGATTTTCTAAGGGTGTCTGTATTTTTATTTAGCTGATAAGTAAATGAATTGATAGAATTTGAGGCAGTGGGAAAGTGAAGGAAAATTTTTTTAACTCCCTTTTGAGAAGACTACTATAAAGACAAGTCTTTCCTTTTTGGGAGTTTGGCATCAGAGGTAGCTATTCTCAACTTTTTCCTTTCCTCTGTTTTTGAACTCACAGTTCTCTGAAAGCTCAAATCATCAGACCAATCTGAAGTAGCACAAAGGTCATGTTAGGGAAAGTCTAATTTTCAAGAAGTGAGAGTCATTTCTTTGCATTTAAGATCAGAAGTCTGAGACTCTCTGTTATTAAATTCTTGTTTGTACATAATGTACTTTGGAAAAAATATTGCAGAAAGGAAATTTCATACCGTGTCCATTTAGCTAATAATAATTTTAAGGGAAAAGTTGTAAGTGTTGTTGATGTCTTGACAATGTCTAGTTAACCTAAACAAACTTATATATGGGCCAGAGAACTTGATTTTCATTAAAATATTAAAGAGACGGTTGGTGAACGTGGAGATTGGCAAGAGATGGTTATAAATATATAAATATGGCTTCATCAAGAACAGGTTGTGTCAAACTAACTTCATTTCCTTTTTCAACAGGATGACTGAACTAGAGATGAGAGGAATACTGTGGTTATAGTTTACCTAGATTTTATTAAAGTATTTCACACTATGCTTTTGGAGAAGATGAAGAGTTATACATGATCATTAGATGATAAAACAATCAGATGGATTCAGAACTGGTTGGATGAATGGACTCAGAGAAATTGTTAAAGGCTTTTTGTCGACAGGATAAGGTATCTAGTGAAGTGGACCCAGGAATCTATCTTGACCCTGTTCTGTTTAATGATTTTTAACATCGACTTGGATAAAAGCATAGATAGTATACACTCAACATATTTTGATTTTACACAAAGCTTGGAAGGATAGCCAACACATTGGATGACAAGATCCAAAAGGACTAGCCCATTGGGCCGAATCTAGTAAGATGAATTTCAGTAGGCACAGAGTCTTCATTTGGGTACAAAAATCAACTTCACAAGAATAAGATGGGGGGAGGTACAGTGAATCAGTCAATAAATATTTACTAAGCATTACTGTATGCCAGCCACTGCGCTAAGTGTTGGGATACAAATACTGAAAAAGAAAGGCCATCTCTGCATTCACAGAGTTTACACACAAAAGGAAGCCGAAGGAGAAAGTCAGAGGGGGAAGCTACACAAGAATGGGGGCTTGATAAAGTACAAAATATTTCAGCCACGTGGGAAATGAAAAGATGACTGGGCTTAGGGACCCTCCTTAAATTGAGATTTTGGGAGGAGCAAGGGTTTGGGGGTTAACCTTGGCAAGGAGAAGGGTCACCTGAGATTTGGGGGATCTTGGGTGAACTGTAAACTCAGAGTCAACTGTGTTTTAGCAAGCAAATAGGCTAATGTGAGCTTGGGCTGCATTGAGAATATCAAAGGGATAGAGAGGTAAAGATTCCATTGTACTCTGCCCTCATTAGACTGCATCTCGAGTATCGTGTTCAGTTCTGGACATCATGGTTTAAGAAAGATATTGGAACACTGGAGAGGGGCAACCAAGGTATTATAATGAAGGGCCTTGAGTCCATGTCTTGTGAGGATTTGTAGAAAGAAAGGGGAGGGGAGGACACTTTGCCTAGAGAAGTTAAGAGTGGGGGGGGGGACACATAGTACTTGTGTTCAATTATCTGAAGGATTGTCATGCAGAATTTGAAAGAATTAGACCTACTATCCTATTTGGCTCCTGAAGAACCAGAAAAAATGGGTGGAAGTTTGAGGGTGCAAATTTAGGCTTGATGGCCAGCAAAACGTCTAACAATTACAGTTGTCCAAGTGGAAATGGCTGCCACCATAGGT